CAAGGACAAGGCCAATGATAATGAAGTCACCCCTTTGTACATTGCAGCTCAGGAAGGACAGTTGGAGGTGGCACACCTTTTGCTGCAGGCCAATGCGGACATGAACAAGGCCACGCGGGATGGCGCCACCCCCGTGCACGCTGCAGAGCTGAGCGGGCACTTGGAGTTTGCACTCCTTTTGCACGGATCAAACACGCAGAAGAGCAAAAGAATAAGGTTGCTGTAGCGAGGCTCAGCACCTGGACTTTGCTGGTCTTTTGCTGGAATGCGATGCGGACAAGGACAAGGTCTTCGATGATGGTGCGACCCCTCGGTCATGCTAGTGGGCGAAGAGAGGTGGAAGTTGCACCATGCCTAAAACCCACGGTTTAGTGTTTAGGGGTTTAGGGAAACCCTAAACCCTAACCCCTAAACCCTAAGACGTTTCGAAACATTGGAGCCCATGCCCATTCTCGGCCCGCCCTCTCTCCCCTTAGCCAGCTGTTCCTATACTGCCCCTACACTACCGTCCGGTACGTTGTACCAATGCAGGAACGACCGACTACCTCATCCATCATCCCGAAGCTGGTCTTATCATTCTGAAATTGCAAAGGTTCCCAAATAGATTTTGATTAGGTTTGGAGTAAACGATGGTAGTGACCTGTTCTCGGCGATATGAACTTAATGACCACCAGGACGACGACGACGATAACGACGACATCCGTCATAGCATCCAACGGTTGGCTTTTCGAGAAGGGTGTGCCGTTGCCCTGCAAAAAGGAGTGGATGATGTCTTCCCCAGTACTGTTGTGCCTCATGCGCGAAAGGTACCCTTATGTTCAAGATGTTACTTTCGCTCCTGACTCCTGGCAAGTCTGTTGCTAAGTCCCCTCTGCAAAATCCAAACAAAAACCTCGAAGACCCCAACACGCCTAAACCTTACACCCCAAACCCTAAACCCTATGTAAACCGCTAAACCTGAACCCTAAACCTTTAAACCCCTAAACCCTAAACCTTTCAACCCCTAAACCCGTAAAACCCTCAACTCCAAAGCCTCAGAAGCCCTCCAGTCACATTGAACGCGCCCAGGGTTCGATGAAGCTCTTCAGCAGGCCGGGTTTCCAGGGGTTTACGGGTTTGGGGGTTTAGGGGTTTCGGGGTTTAGGTTTTTTTTTTTGTTTTGGGGTTTAGGGTTTTAGAGCTTTTAGGGTTTATGGGTTTAGGGTGTGGTTGTTGATTTTTCGGCTTTTGGGTTTTTGGGGTTGGGGGCTTCAGGGTTTTAGGATCTGGATGTGTTGCCTGGAAGGCGCTGGTACAAGCGAAGTATTCTTGACGATTGCCGCGAGTCGCAATGTCACAGTTAACAACCGTTAGATTTGGCGTTGCAGCCGGAAATAATCCGTAAATTCTACTAGTGGCGACTGGTCTTGCCTTGCCTGTTTGAACTGATTGTTCGCCTTTTTTCCGCACTGCCGCTGCTGCACTAACAATAACTTTGATCTTCGTGATTGCGAGGAATTCGAATCGTTCTGACGATCGTCGCTATGCTGATGCACCGGAGGGGCAGAGTTTCCCACAGGATACATCCGCCTGTCGTGCTTCTGCTTGCGATTCAGGCGCTTTTTCGCGTGCTGCGGGCTGTATCCCACCGTCCGTGTGCCCAGATTGACTGGGACACTTGAAAACGAGGATCCAAGAGCTCTGGGCAAGCATTTAGGGTTTAGGGTTTAGGGTTTAGTGCTTCATGCCAACTGTATCGGTTCAGACTGAAATTCAGGGTTTGGAGGTTCTGTGCCATGAGACTTGTCTCTTAGAGTCGTGACAGCTATATAAAAATTTTATCAGTAATAATAATAATATCATTACTACAAGAAAAAGAAGACGAACTATTAATAACAAGAGCCAGAAGAATGATAGAGATCATACGGGGAGCGGTCTTCCGGGACCTTGTTTGCAAGCTCGGTTAGAGCCCCTAATCGTTGTTGTCTTCTTCGTGGGTCTGTAGAAGTAGCAGTGCTGGTGGTGGTGGTGGTGGTGGTGGTGGTAGGACTAGGACAAGGGCTGGGACTAGAACTGCTTGGTGCTGTAGCAGAGGTACCAGCACGTGCAGGACTAGGGGTCGGAGTAGCGGTAGTGGTTAAGGAAACAGTGGTGAAAGTGGTGGTATTAACAGGAGGAGCCGAATGCCGACAATTGATAAGAAGCAGAGAAGGAAGACACGAAATAACAGGAATGTTCAATACTCAAGATGATGACAACAATGACATTATTTATGAAGAATCATAATAACACTGGTCCTGACAACAACAGCAGCAATGCATCAGTATGATATCTCCCAAATTTGGGATGCCGCAGATTTTGAGGGTGTGGGAGAAGATATACAGGCGCACACTGTACAAAGCCACTAAGCCTATACCCTAAACCTCTGGCCCCAGGTGTTGAAGACATCGGTTACTGCCAGGGGATGAACTTCATCGCAGGCTCGCTTCATTTGAAGCTGCAGCTGCGTGATGTACACCCTGTGGCAGGAGTCATGCTTTGCGTATTCCGGTCCGGCGGAAACAGCGACACAGCCTCAGACTCGTCAGTGAGAAGTGGTTCTACAAGGACTCCGGTGGGCTCAAATAGGGTGTTCATGGGGAAGAAGGGTTCTTCTACAAGGGCCAAGAACAGGCGTTCACGCCACATCGCCTTTCGCATTTGCAACGAGACACCGCCTGTCCAGCCCCGGCTCGTGCCGTGCTCAATTTCCAGGCCGCGGAGCCCATTGCATACCACTGCGTGCAGCTCCCAGCGCTGTGTTCCAATGCCGAAGGAAGTTCATCCCTGCCATCGCTACCGAGGTGTTGTCCATGCTTCTACGGCACGGGATGAACCAGTTCCACGGCTTTACCACGCAGTTTAAGGATTGCTGCTATCACGATTGCGGATGTTGATGCTGATGTTGCGGCCGCAGCAGTGATGCATTCACGGTTCCAGGTACTTTGGCGACGGCTTTCCAAAGCTGCGCCTGAGCGCACTTCAGTTCGACTGTTTGCTAGAGGCGCGGTGCATGGCACGGTCATCAGAGTAAGAACCACCATTGGCGATGTTGCTTACTCGAACAAAGACATTTATTAAGCACATATAATTAATATAGATATAGATATAAAAGGGCAGCGCTCTAAATACCCTGTCGCGAAGTTTATACAAAAGGACCTATTTGGTTGCTGGGGTCTAGATTTGTATGTTCAACAAGAGGCGTCACGCAACTAGGGCTCGTTAACC